CCTTCAATAGGGGCTACATTTATTAAAACTTTTGGTACCAATAGAAAGATCTTATCAGAAGGAATACACATATGAAATATAATAGCCCTTCCTCTTAGGGTTAAGAAGATATAGTCAAGATGAAATTTTTTGAAAAGTAGGTCAAAGGTCAAAGTCAGGTCACAAGGTCAAAATTCTGGTACTAATGGAAAGGTGTTCTTACAAGGAACAAACAAATTAAATATGAAAGCCCTTCCTCTTAGGGTTCAGAATATATGACCAAGGTTAATTTTTTTTTTTTTTTCAAAGTCAAAGTTCAAAGTCAAGGTCACAAGGTCAGCGTCTTTGGCTTTTGATTTGGCTTTTCAGGAACTCGCACACTTATTTCAGAACAGTAAACCTGTCTCTTTTGACAACCTAGAATTACCTGAACTGCAGTAAAAATCTCTTTTCGTTTACCTGGATAATTAAAGATGAATTTCTTGTCCATTATGTTTATAATTGCACCATCTGTAAGGACCTTGGCTCTTTTGTTTTTGCCACATAAACTTCTTAGGAAAGCCTGTAATACACATAAGCAGTAAGATCTTAATTCATTAGTCAATCAAACTTCAGCAGTCTGATCAAGTCAGCTTAAAACTTTACTGACAGTGAAAGGTTTGTGTACAAACAGATCTATGTGAATTTAAAATGGCTGTGTACCTCAGAGGGAAGCATTTTTCTTCACTTGAATTTTCCTGAATGCAGAGCGATAATGTGCCCATTTAGACATGCACAAAGTTTCAAAACTGGAATTGAATCCATAGCAGAGATATCTCTGCCTAAAATGATCTAATTAATTCCTTCACGAAATGCATATTCATGAGAAAAATCACAAGTTATGTCATCACAACAAAACGGGTAAATGTTAGCATGTGTTCAATGCAATGCGGTCTTTCAATTTTAATTAAGGTGGATCTATGGTCATACTGAATGCCTCTGATATCCTGAAGTGACACATTTTCAATAATAGCTGACTCCTCTGAAAAAAAATTTGAAATCTCTTGCTATATTGGCTATAAGGGGAAATATTTTGCTACTCTGGAAAAGTAAGTATAACCCCGTTTTTGTTTTTTAAGACGCCTTTATCACCTGCCACAGTCACTTTACATCATGTCGCCTTTATATTTCAACCATGCTTTTCTATATGTGTCGTGGTATAAACCCTTCAAACAAAAACTTGGAGAGTTCATTTTTATTCGTGGGTGTTTCACCGGTGGCCCCAGTGGCTTTCTTCAGGAAGATATATAAACAATTTTTTAGCCCCACTGAAAAGCTGTAATGTTGTCTTGTTATTTATGCATGGGATAGCATTAGACATCACATGATCATAAAGTAACGGTAACGCATTAAAATGCGGGATCACAAATTCGCTGGACGTAGCGAGGATCATATTCCAGTACGGCACTCTGTATCAATGAGGATTCCAGGGGTTAATGAAAAGGATTCCAGCTGCACACCACGTTTTGCAAAATTTTCTAAACGCGAATTAACACTGAGCTGAAAAAAATTTTTTTAAGCTTCAGTCAAGACAGTAGTTTCTAGTCCCGGTCGTTAGGTGACATATAAAAGATATAAACATATGTATATTGCATAGTCTTGTGCCAAAATTCTTCGTTCATGTTCATGGATACCTAGAGAATTAAAACCATCATAAGCTCGTTCCTGAGTTGTTGAAATTTACTGAGAAACAGGTGGGGGGCGTTTATTAGAGTACGGGGCGTTCATTGGAATAAATACGAAATCATCATGCAATGTCCAGGCAAATGTACTGACTGGAGTCACTGTTAGAATGTAATCTTCATCATCATCTGCGACGCTGTATCATCATTGATCATCAGCATAATTAATGATTCTTTCTTTCAATTTTCTTCATCATTTTGCTCTTCCTAAATCCAAAACCGGTCGATAGTTTTTAATGGGCTGGTCCGACTGTGTGGATGTGAACTAGACCTTCAATAGGTGCTACATTTATTAAAATTTCACTTGTTGTCACAAAGGAATACACATATGAAATATAATTCTTTCCTCTTAGGGTTAGAAAGACCTCCAAGATTAAAGCTTTTGAAAAAAGTAGGTCAAATCCGGTTCTCGTTCATTCTGGTGTTTTCTCTACAAGGGAAAATTTAATAATGCAAAGCCCTTCCTTTTAGGGTTCAGAATATATGGCCGTTTTTTCTTTAAATGTTCAAGTCAAGGTCACAAGGTCAGCCAGTGTGGCTTACAATTTGGCTTTTCGGTGCCATGTTTTTCAGCATGGTGTGTACTTTTGACAACCTAGAATTACCTGAATTGCAGTATCGTCATTTACCTGGATAATTAAAGATGAATTTCTTGTCCATTATCTCGGCTTTAAGGCCTTGCGTCTTTTGTTTTTGCCTACATAAACTTCTTAGGAAAGCCTGTAATACACATGGGTGTAATTCATTACGCGCAAACTTCAGCTCTGATATCAAAACTTTACTGACAAGACCTTCTGGCTGCGTTGTTAAAATGTGTGTACCTGACTTTCTTCACTTGAATTTTCCTGAATTGCCACGACGGTTGTTATCACTGTTTCAAAACTGGTTAAATCCGATAACAGACCTGAAATGGATCAAATCAATTCCTTCACGAAATGACGTCATGAGGGACCGTGTCATCACAACAAAACGGGTAAATGTCCCGCCACAATGCGGTCTTTCGATTTCGTTAATGATGCATACAATGCCTCTGATTGTGACACATTTGTGCACTTAGTGCTCCTTCTTGCCTCATATCTTTGAAATTCCGAATCTCACCATATTTGGCTATAACCGCATTTTGCTACTCTTGAAAAGTAAGTATAATTAGGTAACACCCGCGTTCACTTTATTTGCCTGTATATTTTAACCATGCTTTTTGTATCATGTTTTCTCACACTATATGTACTTAAGTGATCTGGTAGAGATGACTAATACAAGTTTTTCTATAACCACCATGTACAAGTAGATAGGAAGAAACTAGAGAGATCGGAATCATATACATGTAGAAAACATGATACAAAAAGCATGGTTAAAATATAAAGGCGATATAAAGTGACTGTGGTAGGTGATAAAGGCGTCTTAAAAAACAAAAACGGGGTTATACTTACTTTTCAAGAGTAGCAAAATATCCTTATCCAATATGTTGGATTACAAATTTGATAAGTGTTTTTCAGAGGAGCAGCTATTATTGAAAATGTGTCACTTCAGGATACCCAAGTCCATCAGGAATATATTAGTGAAAAGCGATATCTGCCACCTTAATTTAAACCGGGCAGTGGTCCGTGCATCAAAAACTGCTAACATTTACCCGTTTTGTTGTGATGAAACCCACTGATTTCCACTTCACAAGCTTTCATTTATGATTTGGAATTAACTTTAGCACAAAAATTTTTGCTGTTTGCACACTTTTTCTCCACATTGTCATGAAAATTAGATTGTACAAATAAAAAGTCAAGGTCAAGAAAAGAAATTCTGAGATAAATGTGCAGAACACAGTACAAGTAATAAAGGATTGCTATCTGAAACTGAACTTTGGTCATCCAAAGTACTGGAATACACAATGTACACTTATACTGAGACTGATTATTGAAATGGACAACATTTCCTGTACATGAATTAGTTACATTGTGATAAAGAAGTGAAATACATAAATTTTGACTTTAGACACAACATTATCTTAAAACTTGAACTGGAAACATACCCTACAAATACTGAAACATGCAAAGGTGACTTAACACACAAATCATATATAACTGAACTGGGGTCATACACTCATAATTAAATAAAGTAAAGTCACTGGGGACTTAACACATAACATCATCTATATCCTAACTGGGGACTTAACACATAACATCATCTATATCCTAACTGGGGACTTAACACATAACATCATCTATAACCTAACTGGGGACTTAACACATAACATCATCTATAACCTAACTGGGGACTTAACACATAACATCATCTATAACCAAACTGGGGACATACACACATACTTAAATAAATTAAAGTACCTAGTGACTTAACACATAACATCATCTCTAACCAAACTGGGGACATTCATTCATACTGAAAAAAAAGTAACGTGACTTCAGACGTAACGTTCTCTGTAACTGAAATAGGGACATACACGTATATGTACTTAAGTGATAGGCATAGGAGTTGACTATATAGTTTTTTTATATCCACCATGTACAAGTGAATAGGAAGAAACTAGAGAGATTGGAATCATATACATGTAGAAAACATGATACAAAAAGCACGGTTAAAATATAAAGGCGACATGATATAAAGTGACTGTGGTAGGTGATAAAGGCGTCTTAAAAAACAAAAACGGGGTTATACTTACTTTTCCAGAGTAGCAAAATATTTCTCCTTATAGCCAATATACCAAGAGATTTCAAATTTCAAAGAGTATTGACGCAAGAAGGGGGCAGTGTTTTTCAGAGGAGTCAGCTATTATTGAAAATGTGTCACTTAAGGATATCAGAGGCATTCAGTATGACCATAGATCCACCTTAATTAAAATCGAAAGACTGCATTGCATTGAACACATGCTAACATTTACCCGTTTTGTTGTGATGACATAACTTGTGATTTTCCTCATAAATGTGCATTTCGTGAAGGAGTTAATTAGATCATTTCAGGCAGAGATATCTCTGCTATGGATTCAAATCCAGTTTTGAAGCTTTGTGCATGTCTAAATGGGCACATTATCGCTCTGCATTCAGGAAAATTCAAGTGAAGAAAAATGCTTCCCTCTGAGGTACACAGCCATTTTAAATTCACATAGATCTGTTTGTATACAAACCTTTCACTGTCAGTAAAGTTTTGAGTTGACTTGAACAGACTGCTGAAGTTTGATTGACTAAGGAATTAAGATTTTACTGCTTATGTGTATTACAGGCTTTCCTAAGAAGTTTATGTGGCAAAAACAAAAGAAACAAGGTCCTTACAGATGGTACAATTATAAACATAATGGACAAGAAATTCATCTTTAATTATCCAGGTAAATGAAAAGAGATTTTTACTGCAATTCAGGTAATTCTAGGTTGTCAAAAGAGACAGGTTTACTGTTCTGAAATAAGTGTGCGAGTTCTTGAAAAGCCAAATCAAAAGCCAAAGACGCTGACCTTGTGACCTTGACTTTGAAATTTGACTTTAAAAAAAAAAAAAACTTTAACCATGGTCATTTATTCTGAACCCTAAGAGGAAGGGCTTTCATATTTAATTTGTTTGTTCCTTGTAAGAAAACCTTTCCATTGGTACCAGAATTTTGACCTTGTGACCTGACTTTGACCTTTGACCTACTTTTCAAAAACTTTCATCTTGACTGTATCTTCTTAACCCTAAGAGGAAGGGCTATTATATTTCATATGTGTATTCCTTGTGATAAGATCTTTCTATTGGTACCAAAAGTTTTAATAAATGTAGCCCCTATTGAAGGTCTAGTTCACATCCAGTGTCAAATTCTCAACAGGCAGGACACGAGTTTGTTAAACATTTTCACTTAACTAGAGTTTCTCAAAACTTTTTGCAGAAGATGATAGTGAGGAAGAGCAAAATGATGAAGATGAAATGGAGAAAGAACAGTACAATGTACCACAATCATACAATAATGCTGACGATGAAACGGAGAAACAGCTATTCGCAGATGATGATGAAGATTACATTGCAGATAGTGACTCCAGTCAGTAAGTAAAGTTTGCCTGGACATTGCATGATGATTTACATACAATACAGTAATATGGTAATGAACTGTGCATGTACATGCATTCCCTTTTACAAAAACTCTAACAAATGTTCTTCTGTTTTAAAAATCATTATTACATCTGCTTATCATAGCTCTTGGAGACCAATGTCTGTGTAACAGAGGTCATTAGTTACTTCAATACCTCCACAAGGATTCGAACCAGGGACCCCTGGCTTACTAGTCTGACGCTCACCCAATCGAGCTAAAGAGAAGTTCTCCCTAGCTGAGCGGTATATTGCGGCTGGTATTTTAAAGGGTTACATACTCCCCCTCCTGGAAATAACTCGTCCTCGAGTTTCCAGGGGTTACAATGATTTTGGTGGGGCATGGCTAAGTATTATTCCAGAGTCCCTACATCGGTGCCAATGTAACAGAGGTCATTATTTATTTCAATGCCTCCACAAGTATTTGAACCCAGGACCCCTGGCTTACTAGTCTGACGCTCAACTGATCTCCCTGGCTGAGTGGTATATTGCAGCTAATATTTTCCAGGGTTACATCTGGAAAGCTGTTGTCATATCTCTGGTGTAGGCGGCAGGGGCTTCTGTCTGTATGAAGGGTTTCATATGGTTTTTATCTTGTATAGTCATAGCATACAATACTTTTCAGCTCACAGGGATGAATGTCTAGAGAGCTAATGTCACAGAACTAGGGTCAGCGTCTGTTAGCACTGTCATCTGGCATAAACAAAAACTTTAACTTTGGTCATATCTTTTGAATCTTAAGAGTAGGGCTTTGATACGTCACAGGACCTTTCTGTTGATTTCATTTTTTTTACCATGTGACCTTGACTGTAACTTTTAACCTATTTTTAAAAAAAATAACCTTGGTCATAACTTTTGAACCTTTTAAAGTAAGGCTTTCATATTTCACTTGTGTATTCAATGTGACAGAACCTTGCCAGTGGTGCTAAAATTGATCTAGTGACCTTGATAATGACCTTTGACCTACTTTTCAAAAAATTTAACCTCTGTCATACCTTTTAAACCCTTAGAGGTAGGACTTTGATATTTCTCACATTTACTCCTTGTGAAAAGATTTTTCTGTTGGATTCATAATAAACTTCGACCTTTTGACCTTGAAGTTTTACCTACCTTCAAAAGCAACCCCATGCTAGGCAAAAGCACCCATCATCGAGCTCCGTTGTCTTCGGACGACTTTTGTTGAAAATCTGTTACCTTATATAGCTGTTGAGTCTAATTTGACTCAACAAGCTCTGTTGTCTTCTGGTAACCATGTTTTGGACCTTTTTTATTATGACCTGGAAACAAAGTCAGGGGGTATCTAGTTTTTGGTCAGTTCTTTTGTCAATTTGTTTGTCTATAAAACATTTAAACCTTGGTCATAACTTTATATCCATAAGTGGTTGATTTTTTTTTTAATTTAAATGTGTATTCCTTGTAATAAAACCCTTTTGGTTTATATCAAAATCTTTGTACTACTGATCTTGACCTTAATCTTTGACTTAAACTTTAATATTGGTTGTATCTTTTGAACTATAAAAGGTGAGAGTTTTCATGTGTATTACTTGAGACAACACCTTCCCATTGGTACCAATTATCTGACCTTTTGACCACGACTTTTGACCTACTTATTCATTTTCTGTGAAACTTGTTGCCATACAGGGGCATCAATAGTTCACAAACACATGTTATTGAAGTAGAAAGATGTTGATTTTACCTTTGCCGTGTATTCAAGTAGACTGTGTCTGTGCATTTTGGAAACTTTGTTAATACTTCACTGATCGCTGTTATGTTATTGAGAAAATAATTGAAATTTTTCCTTCAGTCTTGCAACTGCGTTAGAAACATGAATTAACTTCTGTAATATCCTGTTGGACAATTTATCTCTTCCTCTAATCTTAAGTCTCCTAATAGTTCTCTTATTCTTTCTTAAAAAGGGAAACAGACAGTATGGAAGATGATACAGACTTGGAAGATGATGAATTTCATGAAAGGTCCAAGAAAATCTCAAAAGATCTCAATGTTTCCAAGAGGACAGGATCATCCAAGAAATTCTCTGATCTCCATGTTTCAAAAAGGCCAGTTGAGGATGACAATGAAAGTGCAACAATACCTGTGCCCCCACATCAGATACTGTTTGTGTTTAATCCACTCACTCTTTGGAAGGTAAACAGAAATGGGATAAAAGACATGCATGTAATTTGCCTGCTGAGAGTTATGATGAAAGTGTTGTGATACCTATGTCCTCCACATCAGATGCACTACATGTTCAAACCACTCGTTCTGTTGAAGGAAAAAGAAATGGGATAAAAGACATGCATGCAAATACTGTGAAAATCTCTATCCAAAGATAGCAAGGCACCTTGAAACAGTGCATAGTGATGAAGAAGATGTTGCAAGAGCTCTTGCCTTACCAAAACATTCAGGAGAAAGGAAAGATGCATGGGCACAGATTCGAAATGAAGGAAACTGGGAGCACAATTTTGAAGTTCTCGAATCAGGGAAAGGAACTCTTATTCCTAAATACAGAGAAAAAGAAGATGCTAAGCCTATCTCAAAATATATCCCATGCACAGGGTGTAAAGCATTATTTTCTAAGAAATCTTTGCATGAACATAGGAAATTATGCAAAGCAAATTCATCCAACAAACGAGGCCAAGGAGTAAAAGAAGGAAAGATGCTGTTGCCTCTGCCAAAAAATGTAGGTGAAAGATTTTACAAGAGGGTCATACAGTCCATGGTTAATGATGACGTGTTCTCTGTTGTTACCAGTGACTCATTGATAATGAATTTTGGAAAGAGGCTATTTGACAACAAAGACATTCAAGAGCACACGCCTAATCATATAAGTGGCAGAATGAGGGAGTTAGGCAGACTTGTCTTGGAAACCAGAAAACTTCCTTCACCCATCTTCAGTTTGGAAGATTGTCTGAATCCTCTCAATTTTTATACCATTGTTTCTTGTGTGAAATCTCTAGCAGGATTTAATGAGGATACCCATTTCTACACCACACCCTCATTAACTTTGAAGGTAGGATACAGCCCTCAACGGTGTGCTAAAATTCTGGAGTCTAATGGTATTACAGAAAAAAATCAGAGTAAGAAAGAAAATGGTGAAAATTTTCTTAAGCTGTACTCCTCCAATTGGAATGATTTGATTTCTTCGCGTGCCAGGCAGACACAAGAAGAAAAGAAGTACAATGCACCGAAAATGCTGCCTCTGAGTCAAGATGTTTACATGTTGACTGGATTCTTGAAATCAAAGATGAGGACCATGATGCAGCACCTCGTAGATGATATTTCCATCTATTTTGAGCTGTTAAAATTAACTCTTTGCCTGGTTACACTATTTAATAGGAAACGTGGTGGAGATGTCCAAAGAATTACCGTAGCAACCTATAAACATGCGCTGAAGATGCAGAACAGCTTGCTATTTGACAATGAGGTCAGGTCAAGTCTTTCTACACTTGAAAGAGCACTTAGTTCATCAATGACTCGCACTGAAATGAAAGGAAAGCAAGAGAGAAAGGTTGCAATCATTTTAACAAAGGATATGCTTTCAAGTATCAACCTTCTGTTAGAGAAGAGGGAGGAGGCAAGTGTTGTTGGAAAATATGTATTTTCCAGGAAATCACCTTCCACAAGGACATACAGAGCAAGAGATGTATTGCGAGAAATGTGTTTGAAGGTCAATCTCAAGTATGCAGACCTGATCACGTATACAAATTTGCGAAAACATATTGCCACTATGGCCCAGGTACATGAACTGAGCGAAAATGGACAGGACCAGCTAGCCAAGTTTTTGGGTCATGATATACGCATACACAGAGAAGTATACAGACAGCCTCTGGACTTGGTCCAAAAAACAAAAATTACCAAGATGTTACTTAGAGTAAATGAAGGGCTAGATATAGAGAAAATGACTTTCAATGAGGCAGGTAAGTCACCGATATATTACTTTACATCTAATAAATTGTCTTAATCTTTCTATTGGTAACTTACTACTGGTATACCCTTACAAAGTTTTGGGGGGTAGAGTTATATAGGAATCATTCTGTCTGTCTTTCCCTCTGTCCTTGTTCAGTTAATTTCTCTTAAAGTATAAGAGGCAGGGTTTTCATTTTACATACACTTATCCATCTTGACTCAAGCTACAGATTAAGATAGTGACTGTTCACCAAATGATCTTGACCTTGAACTTTGACCTTTGAAATTTTTTGGTTAAAAATTTCCCGTAAGCTACTTTCTGTTATAGTATGAAAGGTAGAGCTTTCATAATTACTTATCCATCATGACATGAGTTACAATTTTATACCATGACTTTTGACCAAATGACCTTTACCTTGAAATTTGATAGGATTTTGAAAATTTGGTTCAGAAGGTCTGTAAGCTGCTTTCTCTTAAAGTATAACAGGTAGAATTTTAATATAACATACATTTATCCATCATGACATGGGCTACAATTTTATACCATGAATTTCGACCAATCCAAATGACCTTTACCTTGAACTTCAACAAGATTTTGAAAATTGGTTAAGACATTCTGTAAGCTACTTTCTCTTAAAGTATGAGAGGTAGGGCTTTCATTTTATATAAATTTAACCATCATGACAGGAGCTACAATTTTTATACCATGACTTTTGACCTTGAACTTTGACTGGATTTTGAAAAGTTGGTAAAGAAGTTCTGTAAGATATTTTCTCTAAAGCAAAAAGGATCAGGCTTTCATACTACAAACATATAGCTGCCAGCAGAGGGTATTAGTATTTACGCCTTATTCTTGTCAAACTTAGAAACAGTGGCCATGACTAGTAGATAACCTTATTGATTTCTAATTCAAAAGGTCAAAGGCGAAGGTCATTGACCAAGGTTAAACATCAAGGTTAACCACTACCTTACCAGGTCTGCTTTGTGACAAGTATGCTAAAATCAAAAGGCAATGTATGTAATTGTATGATTAAATTGAAAGAAATTCAAACAAAGCTTAAATTGAGCTTTTGTGGTAGTGTCATACATTGTCCAGTCTTACTGAACATGCTTAAACTTAATATAAGGAGCAAATGCTTGAGTTTCTAAATTCTATATCATTCAAATTTCAACTGTGTGTCCATTGGATCAACAAATATGATTTGCTGACACATATTTGAGTTCTACATGCTTACTTCTGGTATTTCATTGAAACTTGGTGGGGGCAAATAGTCAAAGTCCTTAGCAAAATTGTATCAGTGGCTGTAATTGATTAGCAATAAGAAAAGCTACCCTGACCATTGATTTGGCAAAACATTTTTAACAATATCAGTTTGCATACGGGTTTTCTGGTTTCTGATTACAGAATAAGTAATGTGTAAAGTCCCCATTTCCTTCATTTCATTGCAGTGTATGTCCCCAGTTCAGATTACAGAATAAGTAATGTGTGAAGTCCCCATTTCAGAACTTCATTTCAAGTTATGTCCCCAGTTCTGATTACAGAATAAGTAGTGTGTAAAGTCCCCATTTCCTTCACTTCATTTCAGTGTATGTCCCCTGTTCTGATTACAGAACAAGTAATGTTAAGCGCCCATTTCAGTGCTACAGTTAAGTCCATGTATTTCAGTGAAAAATAATAAACAGAAAGCAAGCCTTGAAGGTTCTCAACTCAAAACCTAGTTTTGTTTTTTCACCAAATTTTTTCATCGACATACAAATTTTACCATAGCCTCAGGGTGTCATGACCTAGACACAAGGTCATTTGGTCCAGGTTACAATGGACTGGTGTTTAAAAAAACCTTGTTTGGGCCATAACTCAGATACCCCTGCATGAAACTGGATCCTACTTCATTATATGTTGTTGCCCATGAACAAAGGTCAGAGGTCAAAGTCACAATGTCATGTAACAGGAAAAATGATTTTGTAGCATATCTTGTGCTGGTTTACACAGGGTATTTGTTGGCTCATCAAGGTCAGGTGAGCAATATAGGCTCACTTGGGCCTCTTCTTTCAGTGGACAAACCTTTAATTTATAGAAAGTTGTTTAATCTATCATTTCTCTTTGTTAAACAGAGATCGAGATTGAAAATGACCAGGATAGGGGAGATGATGATAATGACAGTATTTCTGAAGATGACAGTGCTACTGAAGAGTCTGATGCATATCCTGTTGAAGGTTATTTTTTCATGCTTTTTTTTTTTTTTTTTTAGGTCATGAGTTTCCTGCATATTCCATAGCTGGTATATTCAAGTTACACCATTGCTTGAGCCTTTTGCTATGATCATGTTACATTTTTATAAAGCTTTAATATTTAATGAAATATCTTATTAATTTTAAGGTCACAAGTTCAAGGTCAGTGGAACTTTATCAAACCTTATACACAAATATAATTGATGACTCAAACTGGTGTCATTACTTTGATCAAATGTCACATAGCCTAAATGAAGATCACCATGATGATCCAGTAGGTTTAGGTTTAGTTAGGCTGTTTCTAGTAATATTGTAATATTATGTCTGCATTAAAACATAAAAAGTGTTTTGACTGTATTGCAGTTCCAAAGGCCATATCTTTGCGAAAGAAAACATCAGAAAAGCATATAAGAGTACGACGGAGTGAGTCCAAACCTGTTGTTAATCGCAGGCCATGGTCAGAGCAGGAGAAAGAGGCCATAAACAGAGAATTTGGACACTTCATTCAGATGCTAAATGTGCCAGGAAAGGGAGATATAGACCTAGTTCTCAAAAAAGAAAAATGTTTGTCAAAGCAAACATGGAGGAATGTTAAGGACGCTGTGCACAACATCATCATGAAAAAGAAAAAGTGTTGATAAGGCTATTATGTCTCCCCTTCTCCAGAAGGGAGACATATTGTTTTTGTACGAGTTTCTTCTTCTTCTTCTTGTTCTTCTTCTTCCAATAATTTCGTGTCCGAAGCATAACTCTTTTCATAATTGAGATAGGATGATTATATTTGATATACATGTTCATGACTGAAAGACGGTGTGTCGCGTACAAAAATTAGGGGCCGTGACCCTTTTATAACAGAGTAATTGCCCTTTTTAAAAAAACTTGTTCGGAGCGTAACTCTCTTCGTAACTGAGATAGGATGATGATATTTGATATACATGTTCATGACTTAAAAGACGGTGTGTCGCATACAAATATTAGGGGCCATGGCCCTTTTATAATAGAGTTATTGCCCTTTGTAAAAAAAGTTTTTTTTAGTCCCCTGCCGGTGAAACCTATAGTGTTTGTCTCAGTCTGTCCCTCTGTCCGTCCGTCCGTCTGTCTGTCCGGATGTTGGTTTCCAGATGATAACTTGAGAACAGCTAGATGGATTTGGATCAAACTTCATACAGTGGTAGCTCATGAGGTGATACAGTGTGGGATTTTGTTTCGGATGGAAAGGTTAACTACAAAGGTCACTGTTACTAAAAATAGAAACTGTTGTCACATTTAAGTTTCCGGACAATAACTTGAGAACAGTTGGATGGATTTGGATGAAACTTCATACAATGGTAGCTTATAAGGAGGGGACTATAGTGTTTGTCTCCAATTGTTCGTCTGTCCGTCTGTATTGCAATCAGTAAAGTAGCATTTGCTCCCATTCAACAGAACATTGGTGTGCGTATTTGCTGATAAATACAGTAATTTATGGCAGGGGACATGTGTTGCATGCAACACTAACTGTAAGCTTGTTCAACTTCGATCAATATTTTGCACAACTACACAATTGCACACACACTCACCCCAAAACTACTTCATTCCCAAGAAGGGGAGACATTTGATTTTAGCTCTGCTAAATCAAGGCAATTTCTCGTTTTTTTTTAAAGTTCATTTTACGGATCTGCAGACCCCTAAATTTGGACAAAATAGAAAAGTTGTATTTCTGATAGTTAGATTCTAAGATATTGCGGATGGAAAGGAAGTTCAACTTTCAAATTTTAAGTTATTAAGCTCCTAAGGAGGATGAAGACTCTTGTATTTATATATTGTATAAGGTATATCACAGTCTTCAATAATTATGTGAGATATAGATATATATTTTTTCATTTTGTATGATAGCCTTCCATTAACTCTGTCATAATCTATTGACAGAAGTATTGATGCAGTCTGGAACAAAGGACAATAGCATGACGTCATTTTAGTCCTAACAACATCATGATTATTTCTCTGGCACCCAGATTGCATTCATATCGACAATAAATGCAATCTGACAGATGTTAAATGGTTACTCAGTGTCAGGTTTATAAGAATTGTAAAATCTGTGTATTTTATTCTAAAGTTTAGTTTTAGTTTAAACACAAAAAAGACCTGAGATAAGTGTTCACTAGCTTTATACGCCTGCCTGTACAGGCGGTTGTATATTGGTGTCATCCTGTCGGTCCGTCAACATTTGCTTTGTCCGCAACTTTCTGACTGAAGTGCTGGACAGAATTTTATGAAACTTCACCCAAGTCTTTTTGATATCAAACTCCAGGTGCCTGTTGAAATTTGAGTTTACGCGCAAAAGTTCAAGGTCACAGCAACCAAATTTCAACAGGAAATATGATTGTTCGCAACTTTTTGACCAAAGTACTGGACCAAACTGTATGAAACTTCACACAAGTATTCCTGATCCAATCTCTAGATGTGAGTATATGTACATCTTACTATAAAACTGACTCCCTTCATTGTGTCGGCAGGTGTATTATGTACTGTTTACGAAACTCTTGTTTGTGTTATTTTTAGCTCACCAGGACAATGTCTGGAAAGCTTATTGTCATTCCCTGAAATCAGCATTGGCGTCTGCGTGCACAAAAACCTTAACCTCGGCCATAACCTTTGAACCATTAAGAGCTTTCTTATTTAACATGTGCATCCCTTGTGACAAGACCTTTCCATTGGTACAAAAATTTCTGACCTTGTGACCTTGACTTTGACCTACTTTTCAAAAACTTCAACCTTTGCCATATCTATTGAACTGTAAGAGGTTGCGCTTGGATATTTTCACAGATGGTTGCCCCACAAAGCTTTGTTGTCTTTCTGACAACCCTTGGTTTCCCTCCTCAGACTTTTTCAGAAATAAAATCTGTAATTCTAATTTTCAAAAAATACTGGTCTAATCGAATATGTTCTCTTTAGTAAAATGCTGAACATTATTTTATATCTACAGTAGATTTGCATGTTTGAATCTCTTCGTACTGGAAATTGGTTCACGTGTTCCTTGCCTTTCAGTCTTGTACAGATAAAGCATGGGCATTATCTTAATTATTTTTTTCACATTGGTCTTCTCCCTTGTTGAAGGTGTTGAAACTTCTTTTTAACCATATTTGTGCAAGAATTTAGTAAATCTTAATCATATTTTTGTAAGAATTGAATAAATGAAATACAATACAAACATAAAATTCAAAGTCATATTAGATTAAGCACAAATGGAACGGTTTGAAATCTGCTTCTGAATAAGCCAAAATTTTGTGATTACTAATGAAATATTGCACTTACTGTGTTTATATGTACTGTGGTATTCATTGTTGATGGTGATGGAGATGCATTGGAATTTGTTTATGTGTGTATTATGGTATGACAGTCTGTCAGTCTGACTACCTCAATGGAACAGCTTATTACTTGAGGCAAATGTGTCACATTGTGACATGTCCTTGACACAAGGTCATGCCATCAATGCCAAGATCACTGTAGATTTGGATGAAATGTTCTTTTCTGGTCTGTATTTCTTACATAACTTGATGGAACAGATTCATACTTAACACTTATATTATCCATGATGTGTCAGTGGCCTTGACCTTGACCCAAGGTCATGCTTCAGAATCAGGGTCCCAACAAACTTTGATAAGATTTTGAAAACTTAACACAACAGGCCCCACTTGTATAAAACATCTCAACTTGAGATTTCCTCAAGTCGAGATTTTCCTCAGCTGATATCTCCTCAAAAACGGCTTGTATAAAATTTTCTCAAGGAACACGAGGAAGTCATCGGCTAGGATGTCCTGAAATTCCTTGCGGAATTTCCATACAAGATATTTTCAAGGAGATATTAGCTGAGGAAAATCTCGACTTGAGGAAATCTCAAGTTGAGATGTTTTATACAAGTGGGGCCAGGTGTATTATTAGCTCACCTGGTTCGAAGGACCAAGGTGAGCTTATGCCATACCGTGGCGTCCTGCATCCGTCGTCTGTCCGTCCATCAACATTTGACATCTTCTCTTGAACCAACAATCGGAATTTCTTCATATTTGGCAGAAAGTATCCCCAGGTCGCTGGGATTCAGATTTATACAAATGATTAGGCTGACCCCCCGGGGGCCTGAGGGGCAGGGCTAAAATGGGTCATATTGGCTATATTCATATAATTGACTTCTTCTCTGGAAGCTATTATTGGAATTTCCTCATATTTGGCAGAAAGTATTCTCAGGTTGCTGGGATTCAGATTTGTACAAATGATTGGACTGACCCCCTGGGGGCCTGAGGGGCTGGGCTGAAAAGGGTCAAATTGGCAATATTTATATAATTGACTTCTTCTCTGGGACCACTGTAGTAAATTCAGATACATTTTGTAGGACATATCCCTAGGTGGTTGGGATTCAGATTGATACAAATGATGGGGCTGACCCCAGGTGCCTGAGGGGAGGGGCCAAAAGGAGTCAAATTGGCTATGTTGATAACATCAACTTTTTATCTAGAACTGCTATTGGGAAAACCCAAATGGGGTAATTTGTCATATTGATTTAAGTATCTATTCTGGAACATATGCAAAGATGTATTACTGTTGGTCATATGAGATCCAGGTGAACGATACAGGCAATCTGGGCCTCTTGTGTAATGTTTTAATGATTTAAATGTACCAAGTTTTGAATTATTTTTAAATAAAATTCAGACAACTACAAATGTGACTTTCTAAAGTTCTTTTATTCCCCTCATCTGTTTGTCACACTTAACCTTGTCCTGTTGCAATTTTTCATACATGACTGAAGGGATTTAATCAAACCTAAATGTAGATGTACATGAAGAGTTGGAGCCCGAAAGATGTTGTTACATCAGGAGCAGTTATCTTCACGCTGAAGAAAAGGTAGGGTAATATATAGATGTGCATGAAGGGAGATAATGTTCATGAAAACTGGGGTTATTGCCCCACATGTTATTGCACGTAAAAAAAACTTGACGTCATTGTCGTCCTATATCACCGAAGAGAATTCAATCAAAGGTGAATAGCCAAAGCATTAATCCTAGATTTTCATTAAGGGGATGAATATTTCATTGTTCATACAATGTTATGCATTCTGACTTCTCCCCAGTTTTAGTACAACGTGATGTGTAGACAATTCTGATTTATTAAAAAAAATTGTCAGGAGGTTAAATCTGTGGGCTAGTATGACTGCTCTAGACTATGATCGGCTTATCCATTTGTGTTTTGTTTGCATAGCAAGGAGACCTAGAAAGAGGAGGGAGATGTCCATGGCAAACAACCAAATAGATCACTTTGTTCGTCTGCGTTAGTCAGTAACACAATGGGAAAGTCATCCGAAGGCGAAATATGTTCCTTAGAACCTTTGTTAAATTTTCCTTTGAATCTGTTGCATAGATTGTAGTAAAACTTGACAGGAAGCAATTACTCGAGGTTCTCTACTCAAAGTGTCTGTAACACTATGGGAAAGTCATCCGAAGGCGAAATGTGTTCCTTAGAACTTTTGTTGAATTTTCCCTTGAATCTGTTGCAAAGCAACCCATGCCTCTGATTTGCTGACGCATTATCAACTTTATGTGTCGCCTGTGTAGGCAGGGATCCCTTGTCTGTCCGCCAATCCATCTGTCTGTCACACTTTCAACAATGG